ATGTAATACAATATTGAAATTATAAATTTACATAAAAATGATGAAAAATTTGTACACACTCTATTTATAACTTTATACACATCCCAATCTTCATCCCTCATACCAAAATCGTCATCGCGTTTTTCTTTTCTTGCTAATTGACTTATTATACGCATTCTTTCTTGTGCAGCGACTGTTCTACGTTTTGCCATGTCTTGCCGACGTTGTCTTTTGGCCATTCGTTTTTCTAATATTTCTTGCCTACATTGTAAAAAAAGTACTTTAATATTGTTATAAAAAATAGAAAAATAGTTATTTACCGTTTCTTTCGTACACCAGCAATCCATTCGTCGAAATCTTGTTGATCTTTAGGTTGCAAACTCGATTTTATTTTTGGTTTTTGTTCTTCCACTGTAATATTTTCTTCTTGTGAATTAGCTGCCACTATTTTTTGCCTTGTTCTTTCTACTTTTGCTTGCAAATTATTGATCATTTTTATCAGATCTGCTTCATTTGTGAGAGAATAGGTTTTCAAAGCTTGATCAAATTCATCTGCTTCACCTTCTTCTAACAAATCTTGAACAGCTAGTAATTGATTTAACTGTTCTTCGTCTTCTGCTAACTATAAATAATAACTATTTTAAAAGTATATTTATATCTACATTAAATAAATTTGTTTACATTTGTAGGAAATTACTAACTCTCTCTTCCCTTTTCCTTGCATTGATTTCCATTAATCTTCTAGCTAACTCGCGTTTTCTTTCTTTTTGTTGTTCAACTGTTAAACCAGGAGTATTTGCAGGAGCAACATACGGCAATTGTACTCTTAATACATTTGTGTCATAATAATCTGGATCTGCCCATTTTGAAATTTCTTCTTGATAATTTAAAGCTATCGTTGAATGTTCATGTATTAATTCCTATTTAAGAAAAAATAAGAAAATAAATCTTTGAGATTATAATAATACTGGTAAAAAACAAATCACTTATATACCTCTGCTCGACTAGGTGTTATAGCATTCACATGCACTGGATATTTAAGTTGAAGCAATCTGTGCATGTAAGATGTAATGTGATATCCACCAACATTGATTCTTCGTGAATTTACAGGATCTGCTTTACCATCTAATATAGGTATTATATGTGTAGTATGGTACCCTATACTAATTATTAAACCATCTGATGGACAATTATTATGTTGATAAGAAAGTAAGCAATCTACTCCAT